AAGTCCTTAAGAGAGCTGCTTAAACATTATAATCTCTACCTTGCAGCCACAAGGAGGTGCTGTAGGGTGGCTGTGTGTTACAGATTTATCAGGGCAATGTCACCTGAGATTAGAGAAATCTGCTCTGCTCTAATCTGGGGCTTTCTGGTGTATTTGTTGTGTGTATGCCACTGTTTGTGTGTGCATGTGTGTGTGTCTGTGTGTGTGCCTGTCAACAGACACAAAATCACAGGTCACAAAAATGAGTATTTCTCCCAGGCTACCCATAGCAGATTCATTTCTTATCATCGTATCACACTTACCCACACACTTGCCTGCACACTTGGGCGGACACACACACACTCACCTGAGAGGATTAAAGTGGCGGGGCTCTGAGCGATCTCTTGGCGGCTTTGGGAGAAGACTACGTGCTGCGCCAGAGTCGAGCTCTAAAGAGTTCTGAGGTCGGCCTGGTCGTGCAGAGGAAGATGACGAGGCACACTGAGCAGAGTGGGGCTCCAGGGACCGCCTGTCAGAAGGTTTATAGGGTGCGATGCCATCATTTCGCCAGTGTGGACCCGGGCTGGTGGAGCGGGAGGAGTGGGCGCTCGAGGACTTGCTCTGGGCTCCCTGACCTTGGCCACTAGCTTTAGCCTGATGGTAGCGGTGGGCTGTGGAGACAGATTGTCAAAAAGTGGTTTGGAAAGACTTCTAACCAACATTGGCAGACAGCCTGTACAAGGATAAAAGACATCAAGTGGTCAAGAAATACACTACAGCTAATAACTGTGGCATCTAGCTCTTTATTAGCAGATAAATTACAGCAGCTGCTGCCCACAAAGATGGACTCACTAGTCGAACTAGCCAATCAGACAATGATTTGTCATGTAAGACACTTAGAACAGCTTATAACTCTATTATCTTCAGCATGGCCTCTTACTTTAGATCAGGATGTATACTCTCTCAGAGTTTTAGGCATGAACGTGTCCTAATTAAAGTAGCAAAAAAGTTCAAAGTTGCTGTACAGATGTGTTGTTGGATCATGTAGCAGAAAAGTTATTAAAAAGTCAGATCCTCGAGGTTCGGTATGACACAGACTGGCTGTTGATGGGTGACATAACTATTCAAAAAATAAGTCAAACAGTAAAAATCTGATAGATGCAAAGACGAAATTTAGAATTTCTCATATCATGGTTTTATGTCCGCAGGGCTTGAATGACAAATGATCCACAATGTCTGCCGTAGTCGGAACACAGCAAATCAGATGTGAATCATAATCTGTAATGTATCATGATTTATGTAACCCGAGCCATGACGATAAATCTGTTTTCTAAGGGGCTAGTGGAGAATAGGCAATGACCTCACCGAAAGCAGCACAACGGCACGGGTCATGCTTGTCCAAATAGTGCTCTAATGTGTCCCAGCCCCCTCCGACACGCACCATCACATGGGTACGAAGGACCTGTAGCGGAAAAATAGAAGAAAAAAAGAGACTTCAATAGAGAAAAAAAATGAACATGCATATTCATACAAAAAATTGCTAAACCTTTGAGTAAACTGCGCCAACACACACACGAGTAAACATATTCCACAAACAGGGCAGCTTGCTGAAGGCTGCCTGGCTGGCCCTTAGTATTACATAACCTCTAGATGTGCCCCTGCATGTGTCCCCATCTCTCCTTTCCCCACAACTCCTCTTTCTCCAGCATCACCCCCAGCTGCTGCCATTATGAGGGGTATTCATTACTATGCCAACCCACAATTAAACAGAGTACGGTAGCATAACAAAGAGC